CATCAGTAAGTTCAGAGATCTGTGATGTAGACTTGCCAACAGAAGGTGACTTTAACGCCACAATTAAGGTGCGGGTGTAAGGATCAGTATTAGGAGACATTGTAACGATAGATACAGACAAATCGTACAGCTACTCAGCTCAAAGGTGGGAGTTGCGCCAAGAAGAGTTATGCCGAAGCGCCGAGATTAGCGTGGGACAAAACTTTTGTGAGGCACCTCCGTACGTATGCACGACCCGTTCAAGTGGCGAGTACCCTCAACACAACGTGCCACATGTGCCTTGATACCTTGCCAGTCATCAGTTGGTAATTTGCCCTTCTAGTCCCTCTGCCGTCGGCCTGTTCTCGGGAAATATCAACAAAGATAGCGTTCATGTGCCCGGCTCCCGCTGGGACAAGACGGTGAGGCATTTCCTATCCGTCCACGACTCTCGTCTCATCACAATCCGCTTACGCTTCGACAGACTCCATTAGGCCAGGCATATGAGCAGGTATACCTGAAACCGGAGCTGCTCGACGCGGCAGCCCGCATCGCCGACAAGGCCCAGGCAGCTCAAGTGGGGGGTCATGCTGTCGCCCTTCGGTGGGTCATGTACCACTCTATATTGTCCGGTGAGCATGGTGATTCCGTCATCATTGGCTGCTCTACTGTCAAGCAACTCGAGGACAATTTGAATGCTATAGAGGCCGGCCCATTGAGCGATGATCTTGCCCATTCCATGACCCAAGTGTGGGACTTGGTCAAAGACCACGCTGCCCCATATCATCTGTAGTCTGCTATTGCTCTCGTCCCGGAGCCAATTGGATAGATGCATATTGAGAATAAGATATTATTTACCGCTGGCTGTCTATGTACACCGTCTCTGCTACTAGCAGCTGTAGCCCTTTGGAGGAGTGGGCCCCACGGACCAAGGGTTGGAAAAGACATTTTTCGCATCGTACTTCTTCCTCACCTGGACCAGTTTGCATACAGTATCGCCATAATACGCCTTGTACGGATTAACCGAGATGTCCTTGTCGACGTAGCCGGTGTAACTCGCATCCCTAGAAGCAATCAGGTTATCAAAATGCACAGATAAAAAGACGGATGAGACGTCAGGGAAGCAACTTACCCAAATTTTGGCCGCAGAGTCGTCTCAACGCTCTTGGTGAAGGCATCCGCTTGACTCTGCACTTTCTGGTCGCCAAGTCCCTTGGTGACCTGCATGCGGAACAGCGTCTTTGCCTGAGTCGTCCATGGAAAGGCACTCGTCGTCGATGCAATGCTCATGTTGAACGTGGTAATCTCGGCCCAGAATCCTGCATCCATGGGCAGCTTGCCCGACTCAGTCACCAGCCATTCAACGTCTGCCGCGCTAAGCGGCTTGTCTTTCGTCTCAACAAACGTCTTGGATGCGACGTCGGCGCGTGGCCATCGATTAGCTCGCGCAACATCCGGCAGCGCCGGCGTTTGGTTGAGCACTGTGGCCAGCCCATTTGTCTGAACGGACGTGAGAGCGTCGGCCGCTACGTTGTTCAATGTGTAGAAGAGCTTGTCCGCCGTTGCATCGTCAGTGCAGGTATCTTGGAGTCCCAGCCAAAAGTTGCGCGAGTTGGCTACGCTGCAGTTGTCGCTGATCTTGATGCTGCCTCCGGCTACGTCCGCGAGTCCTGACGTTGCTACAATGGCTGAAAGCTCCTCCTTTGTCTTGCCCTGGTACCACCCGAGAATGCCCGTACGGTTAGACCACAAATTCAGCTGTGAGTTGAACAGGGGATCCTGTTGCGACGCCCAGTTGAGGAACTTTTGCGTCACTTCAAGCCGGGTATCGTTGCCAAAGTTCATGGAGAACATTGCAGATCGGGGCGAAGGATTCGTCTTCAGGACCACATCTGCGATGATGCCAAAGGTTCCACCTCCGCGAATGGCGTACCAGAGGTCTGGGTTCGACGTTGCAGACGCAGTGACCAAGTTCCCATTGGCGAGCACCACTCTTGCCGACTCCACATTATCAACCGACATTCCCTCCGTCCGCATCTGCATATTGTAGCCCCCCACACTGATGTGGCCTGCAATTCCAACCCTTGGGCAGATGGATCCTGCAAACGACCTCCCGTAGCCCTGCAGAATGCTGTATATGGCACCAAGTCTGGCGCCTCCGCCAACCACAGCTGTCTTCGCACCGTCCGATGGCAGAACGTAGTTGATGTTGGACACATCAATCACTAGCGAATCCATCAATGAAGACCAGTCCTGGAAATGATGCCCGCCGGAGCGTGGCACAATCACAAATCCATTAGCAACACCGCACTTGACTAGTGGACCAAGCTCATCGACTTTGTTGGCGTATACCACCATTGCTGGGAACTGGTTGTTTGAAACAATCGCACCCGACCTGGCGGAAAGGTACTGGCTGCTGGATGGAGTAATGATCCGATTTGCGCCACTGGATCCCAGGCACCCTTGGACACACGCTAACAGACCTTTGGAGTCTGCAGCCTTCCGCACGAGAGGGTCATGGGCTAATGCAGCTGCAGATGTAGCAAGCATGCCAGGCACGCTAAGAAGCGCGAGAACTGAGAAAGGATACATGGTAATAGAGGGGCGTCGGCCTGTGGATCGAAGTACAAAAAGAGTGTGAATTCGAGTGGAGAGGTGGGGTGAATCCAGCAGCGTACCAGTCCTCTATTTCAATGCACATGAGATTTACCTACTCGTACACGTTCCCGTTATCATGACTGTCGTTTCTAGCCAAGCGTTCCAGCCCCCCAGGCCCCCTGCGCCTAACATGGCATCGCCTTAGCGGGAGCACTTGGACTTCATTTCGGCAGAGCAAGGGTGGGGTCCAAGGCATCTGATCACTTGCAATCTCATTGTCTTTACACTATCAAGGCAATGGTATGGTTATCGGATATTAAACATCGTGCAGACCCGTAGGTTCCGAGGACAGGGATATTCAGCCCAATGGGAATCTGCATTTGGGCCTCACTTGGTACCATGACATGTCTTGTAATCCCGAACAACAAATCATGTACTAAGATCAAGGAAGCCGAATGACTAGCTCGGCATAAGTTTGTTACCAATTGCTACTTATGCAGGGACGATACAATGACCCTCCTAGAGGATAGTACCAAGCTAGTGCAAGCCCGGTTTGGGATACCAGTCCGACGTGGATTGCGTTTCAATAGGGAAGTTCGGCTCTTATCGTTGCTCCCTGTCCATATGCCGACTTCAGACTCCCCGCAATAGAACCGATCGCCTGGAATGCATGCAAATCCGGCGATTTTTCTGTTGGGCATACCCGTACGAAGGCAACTCGGTTAGAGAGCAGTGCGAGTCTTGCCCACTTATTGCAATGCTCTTATCATGCAGTATCAATCAGCTCAATATCAGCAGGTTCATCTAATATCTAGGTTGCGTTCAATACAGCCTAGTGCATCTCTAGATGACACGCACGTAACACATAGTCCTCAGGTGAAGAGAGTAGTATGCATTGAAGGCTGGCATAGACAACTGAAGCATTCCATCATTGGTATTAGGGAGAATGTTAAATGACCCCAACTACCCTACTATGTTTCTACTTCAATCGTGTTACCGTCTTTGTCAAATTTACCCGCTGACCCGACAAACACTCTTTCGAATTCGTGCTCATTCAAGTCAACTTTTGTCGAAATCCCTCCCCATTTCCACTCCCCATTGATTTTCTTGTAGAACATCGTTACCAAGCCATGACCGTGTCCTTTGGCTGCAAGAGTCTCCCTTCCCTCGTTCCATCTCATATGCGCCGCTCGGGACTGATGCTGACTAACAATTTCCGTCTCAGACGTCTTTCTCCATTTCGAGACTCCCAAGAAATGTTGCGAATCGATGTTCCCGTCTCCCAGAAAGAGTGGGTTCTTCATCATCGCGACAAAATCTCCTGCGGGCATCTTGTCTGCAGTCGAGTTATTCACTCCCGAGTAATTGACCTGTTGCCTCGTTTGAATGCTGTCTTCACATTATTGTTAACGGACATGAACTCACAGTGACGGTGGGTGCAAGCGTCTTTGAGAGCCGCTCCCAATCCTGCAAATCTTAGTGAACATGAACCCGAGAGTTGTACCGTCCCGTAACTACCTTTTCGTCATAGCTTCTTGCCCACTCAAAGGCTAGCTCGCTGCAGTCCAGCCATTCTACACAAGGTCGGTTAGACACGATTCAGAGCCGAGATCAGAAATAGTCCTAACCTTCATAACTTGGTTTCATGTAAGTTTGCATGATGGATTTCTTGTTAAAGATGACTCGTGATGAAAGCTAATTCGCAGGACAGCTGGTCCGGTAATACAATGGTAGTAAATGTACGAAAAATGTAGCTCACTTGTACATTTTCCTGTGGACTCAGTTGTCGCATTGCCCTATCGCCGGAAGCCGTGCTGCCGTTGTTTGGCCCGACCGAGCACATGATGCCGCCACCCAAGATGGTCGGCGTCTCGATGGCTTCGGGTCCCGAAGGCGTCGGTCTTGATCACGATAGCTGAGCCGTACGTATCCTTTGACATGTACATAAGATGTCTTTGGTCATATCTAAACTGCCACATTCACCTTCCTCAATCGATACCAACTAAACATGTCATCGGCAACAATCAATCAAACACTCAAGGGCAAAGTGGCCCTTGTAACGGGATCCGGACGAGGCATCGGAGCGGGAATCGCTCGTGAGCTAGGAGCAAGAGGAGCCTCGGTTGTCGTCAATTACAGGGGTAGTGCAGCTGCCGCTGAGACGTTGGTTCAAGATATCACCGCTGCGGGCAGCAAAGCCGTTGCCGTTCAGGCTGACATATCCAATGTGGACGAGATCAAGACACTGTTTGAGAAGGCCAAAGAACAATTCCAAAAGATTGAAATTGTCGTCTCCAACTCGGGTATCGAGCATTTCGGTGCCCTCCCCGATGTCAAGCCCGAGGATTTCGATAAAGTCTTCAACGTCAACACCCGTGGCCAGTTTTTCGTCGGTCAGCAGGCATATCAGCACCTTTCCGATGGTGGCCGCTTGATTCTCATGTCGTCCATCTCGGCTCATAATGCGATTCGCGAGCATGCCGTCTATGCGGGGAGCAAGTGCGCCGTTGAGGCTTTTGCTAGATGCTTTTCGCACGAGTTTGGCGCCCGACGCATCACGGTGAACTCGATTGCCCCAGGAAGTGTGAAGACAGACATGGCGGCCGATGTCGCTTACAAGTATCTTCCTATGGCCGATGCTTCGTGGTCATGGGAGCAGATCGAGGCCGTTGTGGCTAAGAGAACACCTATGGGTCGCATAGCAGACCCTGTGGATATCGCTCGTGTCGTGGCCTTCCTGGCAAGCGACGATGCCGCCTGGGTGAGCGGACAAAACATAACCATTTCCGGTGGTGCGTCAGGCTAGAAGCTGCATGCGCAATGGGCTACGGCTTCGAGTGGTTTCAAATCACGGAAATGAACTCTGGTAAGACACACATCATCGGTTGTCGGCTCTCGATGTTCGGTTCTCGTAGCTCGGTTCTCGTAGCTCGGTTTTCGATGTTCGGTTTTCGATACGTAACGTATGTGGCAAGCGAGCGCCGCAGGCAAGCGAGCGCCGCACCCCACCAAACCTGCGCACCTCTATAAGCCTGTAGTT